TGCTGCCCCTGCTCCTGCTGCTCCTTCTGCCCCTGCTGCTGCTCCTGCGGCCCTTGACCTTGCCACAGCATCTTCTGCTCCAACTGCTGCTGCCCCGGCTGCTGCCCCTTCTGGTGCCCCTGCTGCTGCCCCTGCTGTTGCCCCTGCCCCTGCCCCTGCCGCTGCTGCCATCGCTGCAGCTGCTGCTGCTGTTCCTGCTGCGCCTGCTCCTGGTGGGGGTGACATTCGTGATGCCAGCTTTGGTGCCACCTCTGTTGCTGCTGAGGACACCAAATCTGCTGGTGCTGACGTGGCAGGATGGCGTGCTGCCACCTGTCACGGCATGCTGTTGGAGCTCTGGACACGTCTGCATGATGACGTCAGCAAGTGGCTTGAGGCGCGGCCCAAAGAGGCTGTTGGGAACGTGTGAGTTGCTGACATGGTGGCATGGTGGCATGGTGGCATGCTGGCATGGTGGCATGGTGGCATGATGGCATGCTGGCATGGGGGCATGGTGGCATTGTGCCATGGTGGCCTGTGTTGGCATAGTTTTCTTCACACTTCTGAACGTTTTTCCTTCTTCTTTGCCCTGCCATTTCCCAAACTCACACCTTCCACTTCTCCCTGTCCACCTTTCTGCTCCCCCCTTCTCGTCCACCGCAGTGTGTCAGCAGTGGCAGCACTGACACGCCACACAGCAGCCTCCCCAGCACACGCCACCCTACCATCACCACCACCACCCTCCTCTCACATCCTGCCTCCCACCGCCCCCCCTGTGGAGGCACTGTTCCCCTGGGCGGCACACTTGAAGCCGCTGCTGCCTGCGCCCGCCCTCACTGCTGCGGTGGCCGTGGCGGCATCAGAAGCAGCAGCTGCTGTGAAGGGCGATGCGAGGAAACTAGAGGTCGGTGCTTCTTCCCCTACCCTTGCCCGCTCAAGCATCTCACTCTCTCCCCGCCCTCGGCTGGTCAGCATTCGCCCTGTCTTGTCGATACATCTGCTCATCTTCCTCATCTTCCTCATCTTCCTCATCTTCCTCATCTTCCTCATCTTCCTCATCTTCCCAGATTCAAGGAGCCTCATAGCTCTCCGTGTCGTGCCATATCTTCTTATTCCCCCCTTCCTGCCCTGCTTTTCCTGTTCCCTTTTTCTCATTCTCATTCTCCTGCGTCTGCGCCTGCAGGTCTTGCAGGGTGTTACGCTGCGACTCGTTCTCTCTCACAGCCCTGCTGAGCTGGCAACGATTCGTGCAGCACTGGAGAGGGAACGGCGCCACGTCAGCGCTCTGCTTGCTGACATGGACCAGCCGGCCAATCTGACTTCTGCTGCTAGCAATGCAGCTGCTGGTGCTGCTGCTGCTGACGGCGTTGCTGCTGTTGCTAGTACTGCCGCTCCCCCCACCGTTAATCCTCCCCCTGCCACTGTCACACCTCACCCTGCATTGGCCACCCAGCTTCCGGTTCGGCCCCCAGCCCCTCCCACCCCTCCCCACCCTAGACAGCCAGGTATGGTTAGGGGAGGCAGGCGGACAGGGGTCAGGGCTGTTGCTTCTGCTGCTGTTGCTGGTATTGATGGTGCTGCTGCTGTTGGCAACGCTACTACTGCTGGCGCTGCTGCTGGTGCTTCTGCTGGTGGTGCTGCTGGTGATGCAGGAGGTACTGGTGAAGTTGATGGAGGTGAGGGTGTAACAGGTGTCGTTTCAGAAACAGGAGGTGACGAGACACGGATTGCAGCAGCAATGCCTCCAGCAGCAGCAATGGCAGCAGCCACACCGACACCAGCAGCAGCACCAACAACAGCAGCACCAACAGCAGCAGTAGCAGCAGCAGGTGGAAATGGTGAGCGAGTGAGAAAGAGGTCACACGCATCTCGGATTGCAGAGGAGCTCGGGGGCGAAAGACTGCAGCAGCAGCCGCAGCAGCAGGTGGCGGGCGAGGGGCACAGCGGGCGTGCAAAACGGCGAAGGGGAGCGTCCATGCACTCTCGCGGGGAGGGGCTGGGCGGGGGACATGCAGATGGCGCTTTGGACGCGGCAGGTGAGCCAGGTGAGGCAGGTGGGACAGGTGGTGTGGATGAGGCAGAGGGTCGCAGGCAGGCAGAGGCGGAGGCGGAAGCACATGGAGCAGACACAGAGCGTGGTGCCCGCGTGGGGACTGCTGCTGCTGCTGCTGGTGCTGCCGCTGCTGGTGGTGGTGCAGAGACAGGGAGGGCAGCTGTGGGAAGGAGGTCGGTTGCAAGAGCAGGGATTGGAGGAGCAGGAAAGGGTGACCCAGCAGGGAGTGCATCAGCAGAGACGGCAGGAGTGGCAGCAGCAGGATCTGGCGCAGTGGCAGCAGCACCTGTGGCATCCGGTTTGGGTAGACGGCTGCGGTACAGCGCAGGTGCAGCGAGAGCGCCTGCATCAGCAGCAGCAGCAGTGATTGCCCGAAGGCGAGGGATACGAGGCATGGGGGGGATGGGGCAGAGGCAGGGAGGTGCCGTGTGGGGCAGCAGGGGAAGGCGGTTGGTGAGTGGTGTGGCTGTGGGCGTGGGTCGAGGTGGGAGGGGTGGGAGGGGAAGAGGTAGAGCAGGGCACGGTGGTGCTTTGGGTGAGGGAGGAGAGGCAGAGGGAATGGTTGGCAGAGGAGCAGGAAAAGCAGGGCTGGTGGGAAGTGAAGGGGGTGATGGGGAGAGAGAGGGGCAGGGGGGAGTGAGTGCGGGAGGAGAAGGTGAGACAGGCAGAGCGAGGGTGGGGCGAAAGAGGAGGCGAGGAGTGCTTATTGGCACACAGGAAAGGACAGCAACAGCGGCGGCAGTGGGAGCAGCAGGAGCAGCAGGAGCAGGTGCAGTTGGGGGGAAAAGCCTGCTGCGGCAACTACAAGCAACTACAGCAGATTCTCTCAGTGCCCCTGCCACAGCTCCCTACAGTCACCATGGCAGCACCTCCTTACAAGCACAGCCTCGCCCTCTCTCCACTCGCACGCTCCGCTGCTCCCCTTATCCCACACCAACCGAGACAGGTTCGGATGACGAGTCTAGAGGCTCGGAAGACCTTGGGGATCCGAGCCTGGGCTCTCCAGGCGGCTCGGGGGAACTGCCTCGGGTACTGTCTCTGGGGGGGCTGGGGGGCCTAGAGGGGATGGAGGGGATGGGGTTTGAGGGGTTTGATGGGGCGATTGACTTGGAGGACATGGCTGAGCTGGATGATGCTGCTGGGCTGGGCTTCGACTGATGCTGGTGGCGTGATGATGTTGGGGTGATGATACAGCACTAGATGTGAAAGTGACGATGTGGACTCTTGGGTGAATGGTCACTTTGGGCTGTGCTGTGCTTGGAGTGATTAGGGGGGTTGATGTTATGGGGTTCTTCACAGCAGTGTGGAGCTAAGAGTGCATACATACATACCTAGTACCGTACTCCAGTGTAGCTGTTCTTGCCGGATAGTGATTTTGCTAAGGTAAGAGAGTCTGGTTCGGTAAAATACTTGGCCTTTATTCGTACCGTAGTGGGTACGATAAGAGTTAAAATAGTGCTCAGTCCATTCTTTTTGTTCATTTTGCTTGCTTTCTGTGATTCTTATTGCACGGCTTCATATAGATATCCATTGGCTGCCCAAATCTACAGTGCATGTATGTGTTCTTTTACTATTGTATGTGATATTCTATATGCAATGGCATGCTAGTACGGTACGTAAGGAACACCCCATCATTGTGGCAAACCATTGTTACACTCTAAGCGATCTGCAACTCCTACATAAACAATATAGCCGATGACACAACAATCAGTGTGGACCATAATATGGTCGGTTGTATGTGCAGGCTCGAAGAATCATCTGCACGAATACACGAGAGAAATGCACAAGAAAATATTGAAAGCCAAGCGTCCTGAAATTAAAACAAGGAACAACAAAGGTTACGCGTGTGAACATATGGAAGACGGTGGGAGGAGGAAGCAAGCAGCGAGCCGGACAAGTTCCACAAGTGCCACAAGTGCCACAAGCCCGATAGGTGCCACCGGCGCCTTTAGCATCACCGATGCGAATGCTTAACGTCACATCTTTGCACAGTGAGTTGTAGTACGTACGTACCATAGCTGTAGTCGGGCGGGTTTTCAAAGATGGCTTTTAAGGCGCCTCAAAAGACGTCACACCTTTGCACAGTGAGCCGGCGTACGTACGTACCGTAGCTGTAGTCGGGCGGGTTTTCAAAGATGGCGGGGGACGAGCGGATGATGGCACTCGTTGTCGTGTTGATGAGCTTGCCTGTGGTGCCTGTGGTGAGTGAGAGGGAGGGGAGAAGAGGGAAATGTGGTTGATATGAGTGCCTGTGCGGACAAGAAGCGCAAGGCCAAGAGAGGGCTTGACGTTGGTAACTTAGCTGCAGGTGCTTTCAAGTGTGTGTGTTGATGGGTGAACAGCGAAGACAAGTACCTTTGAAGACAACATCAAAAGCAAAGGAAGAATTAGAGTGTTGTCTTTATCAAGAGAGTGTGTGTTGGCGGTAGAAGAATAATCTTACTAGCTTACTTCTGGAATCTGCAACATAAAGAAACAGGCAGCTACTTGCAAATATGGAATGCCGCAGTTTTCATAGAGCGGCAGCAGCGACAGGAGCAAGAGAAGCACGGACTAGACGGAGTGGGGGGCTTGAGTGGTCGCGGAAAAGCGTTATTGTGTTGTGAAAGCGGTGCAAGCCAGTGGTGGGATAGGGAGCACGTACAATTCATGGGCACGAATCCAATTGTGTTGGTTTCATGGTCGAATAAAACGTCGTTGTTGCGAAGCCATGACCCTGCAAGCAGGTTACCAGTTGAAGAAGGTTGTTGTGACACATCATTGATGGCAGAGAATCCAATGCACACATGCATGGTGATGACTTGACCCGCTTTAGGAAAAGCATCAAGGAAACAAAGGGGAAAACGCACAGTAGAGTGCACAGTACGCACAACTTCCGCATGCATCGCGCATCCCTCACATCCTATGTACATGGTGTTTTCTTCCCCGTACTTACCTCCTATCAAGGATGAGATACAGTCCGAAGCGAATGCACACAAACACAACATCATGCATCATGCATCCCTCACCTCCTATGTATGTGGTGTTGGACTGCCCATCCCTCACCTCCTATGTATGTGGTGTTGGACTGCCCATCCCTCACCTCCTATGTATGTGGTGTTGGACTGCCCATCCCTCACCTCCTATGTATGTGGTGTTGGACTGCCCATCCCTCACCTCCTATGTATGTGGTGTTGGACTGCCCATCCCTCACCTCCTATGTATGTGGTGTTGGACTGCCCATCCCTCACCTCCTATGTATGTGGTGTTGGACTGCCCATCCCTCACCTCCTATGTATGTGGTGTTGGACTGCCCATCCCTCACCTCCTATGTATGTGGTGTTGGACTGCCCATCCCTCACCTCCTATGTATGTGGTGTTGGACTGCCCATCCCTCACCTCCTATGTATGTGGTGTTGGACTGCCCATCCCTCACCTCCTATGTATGTGGTGTTGGACTGCCCATCCCTCACCTCCTATGTATGTGGTGTTGGACTGCCCATCCCTCACCTCCTATGTATGTGGTGTTGGACTGCCCATCCCTCACCTCCTATGTATGTGGTGTTGGACTGCCCATCCCTCACCTCCTATGTATGTGGTGTTGGACTTCCCATCCCTCACCTCCTATGTATGTGGTGTTGGACTGCCCATCCCTCACCTCCTATGTATGTGGTGTTGGACTGCCCATCCCTCACCTCCTATGTATGTGGTGTTGGACTGCCCATCCCTCACCTCCTATGTATGTGGTGTTGGACTGCCGGTATCCGATGGCAGCAATGCACAGCAGAGTGTCGCTCTGCAGCAGGCCACACGAGAGGAGGCACACATGGCATGAACATGGGCACGTGCTGAGGCACACACGTGCATGCGTTCAAGGCACATACGGGCATGTGTATGGCACACACATGGTAAGGCACACACACATGCACACGTACCAAAACGTGAAAAAAAACATTTGTAAGGCACAGAAGAAGAGCACTCCCCCTCGTGTAAGGTGCAGCTGCAGAAAGCGCACCTTGTGAAAGAGGTAGTTGTAAGCAGGGACGGTCCAGAGCAGGTTGGCGGAGAAGTCAAGGAGGAGAGGCGGGTAGGAGGACACCAGTTCCGCACTCGACCTGGTGGGGGAGGGGCAGGGTCGGGGAACCGATCAAGGGGAAGAGCACAAGGGGACGAAGCAGGTGATGATAAGCACGCATTTATCTCACGGTGCTTCACTGGAGGATGCCTGCAGACAGCATGGCCTGGCTTGTGAGCACGGCATGCCTTTTGAGTCGACTCAAAAGTCAGGCTTGTCTTGGGGCACGGCACGACATGCCAGTGACCTTGACTGCATAAGACGCGCTTACAAGTGAAGGGAATTTGCGATAGCAGCACAAATCCATGCAAGCACACACTGACTCCCATGCTCGAATAGGTGAAGGGAAGTCGTGATAGTGGCCCGGGCCCCGGCTCACATGCGTTTCTTGGTGCGCAGGCAGTGGAAGTACCCCGACCACACCATGCTCTCGTTCACTGCTTGCTCCAACTGCATGGGATGGGCGTGGATGGGCGGGGATGGGCGGGGATGGGCGTGGATGGGCGTGGATGGGCGAGTGGATAGGCGCGTGGATGGGAGTGGGTGGTGAGGCATACGAGCAGGTTGTGGGAGGGGGTGGGCAGATGCGGATAAAGGCCTGGGGAAGAAGTGCACATAGGTCAACGAGAAGATGAAAGAAGAAACAGAGGAAGCACTGGTAGCAAGACTGATGCTGACCAAGGTTTGCCTAACGCTGACTATGTTAGAACTCATGCTAAGAAATGTTGACTCATCACTTATGGAGAAACTGGCGGCAATGCGGGTCAGGCAGCAATTTGCGACACATAACAAAATATAAGCAGGAGGGATTGGAAAAAAAAAAGACGACGAAGAAGAATCATCCACACACACAAACACACACAAGGAAACAACTCGAACAAGAACGAGTGGAAGCATAACTACTCAGAGCTCCACAGCACAAGCGGGCGGACGAGCGGCAACTTTTGAGGCGCCTCAAAAGACTACTCAGAGCTCCACAGCACAAGCGGCCGGACGAGCGGCAACTTTTGAGGCGCCTCAAAAGACTACTCAGAGCTCCACAGCACAAGCGGTTGGACGAGCGGCAACTTTTGAGGCGCCTCAAAAGACTACTCAGAGCTCCACAGCACAAGCGGGCAGACGAGCGGCAACTTTTGAGGCGCCTCAAAAGACTACTCAGAGCTCCACAGCACAAGCGGGCGGACGAGCGGCAACTTTTGAGGCGCCTCAAAAGACTACTCAGAGCTCCACAGCACAAGCGGGCGGACGAGCGGCAACTTTTGAGGCGCCTCAAAAGACTACTCAGAGCTCCACAGCACAAGCGGGCGGACGAGCGGCAACTTTTGAGGCGCCTCAAAAGACTACTCAGAGCTCCACAGCACAAGCGGGCGGACGAGCGGCAACTTTTGAGGCGCCTCAAAAGACTACTCAGAGCTCCACAGCACAAGCGGGCGGACGAGCGGCAACTTTTGAGGCGCCTCAAAAGACTACTCAGAGCTCCACAGCACAAGCGGGCGGACGAGCGGCAACTTTTGAGGCGCCTCAAAAGACTACTCAGAGCTCCACAGCACAAGCGGGCGGACGAGCGGCAACTTTTGAGGCGCCTCAAAAGACTACTCAGAGCTCCACAGCACAAGCAAACGAGGGGCAGCAGGAGACTGACAGCAGAGGAGAGCGCGGTGAAGATGGGCGCAGGCAGGGCTGTGAAGGTAGACCCGCTGTCAATCACCGCTCCCCCCGACACCGCCCCTGTTGGCAGCGACCCCCCCGCTGTCCCCCCGTTGCCATCGCCATTACCACCCCCCTGGTTGCTGTCACCCCCGCCCCCACCATCCCCCCCGCTGCTGTCACCCGCGCTGCCATCCCCCACCGTGTCTGTGACCCCATCGCCCCCTATTAAGGTGGTGTCAGAGGCGGGGGCGGACACGCCATGCGGGGGAGGCGCGATGGTGATGGCGGTGGTGCCGTTGGGCAGGGGAATGGGCGCGCGGGCGAGGTAGAGCGCGAGCAGGGGCAGGCGGTACACCGTGCTGGGCGGTGCACCGAGGGGGGGGGGGGGGGGGGAGGAGGGGGTAGGGGAAGATAGCGGGAGAGGCGAAGATGGGAAGAGGTGAGAATTTGGGAGTAAGAAATGGCACCGTGGTGCTGTTGGGTAAGGGGACGGGCGACTAGCATAGGTAGTAGAGTGCGAGCAGGGGCAGGCAGTGCACCATGCTGGGCGGGGGAGGAAAGAGGGCGGGGGAGGTGGAACAAGGGCAGGAGAGGTGGGGAAAGGGGGGGAAAGGGAGAGTGGGGGAAGAGATGGGAAGGAGCAGGACAGGTTGAGTGGGGGGACAGCGGTCACAATCTACAGAATAGCAACCATCGCACTCACAGGTCATCGGAGGGCGCGAGGGGCGCGGTGACGGTGGAGTTGGTATCCGGCAGGCGCCGCCTCCCCAGCACGAGGTGGCCGCCGCGCTGGCGGCCCTCGAGGCAGAGCGAGAAGGACTCGTGCAGCACGCCCTGTGCTGCCAGCTGCGTGACCACTGAGAGCGGCCCGCGACCCAGCCCCATGACTCCACTGAGAGAGGCCGTGGAGGAGGGCGAGGCGAGACGGCCGGATTGGTGCACTCCACAGCTGGGGAGGGAAGAGGGCGGGGGTGAGAGCGGAGAAGGGAGGGAGGGGTGGGGAAGAGAGGGCGGCAGGGAGGGAAGCGGCGAGGAGGGGAGGGGCGGGGGAGGGGAGGGGCGAGGAGGAGACGAGTGGGGAGTGGAGAGGGGAAGAGAGAAGGCGAGCAGAAGAAGGACACGGGGGTGAAGGAGACTGTATGCTGCTGGGGTGAAGGAGACTGTATGCTGCTGGGGTGAAGGAGACTGTATGCTGCTGGGGTGAAGGAGACTGTATGCTGCTGGGGTGAAGGAGACTGTATGCTGCTGGGGTGAAGGAGACTGTATGCTGCTGGGGTGAAGGAGGGCAGGCATGAAACGAGCGCAGGCGAGAAGGAGCACAGGCGAGAGAAAGGAGGCAGGCGGGGGGATGAGACACACGGCAAGAAGGGGGGTTCAGCAACGGCAATCCTAAAATAAATGAAACAAATGAATGCAGGTGGTACCCAAAAGCAATGGTGGCGTTGGCGGATTTCTTGGAGGTGGAGAGCAGCGCAATGGAGTCAAAGAGCAGGTCCCCTGCCGTGGTGCTGCCATCGCCGTACTCCAGCATGTACTGGCACCGGCGACTCGTGCGCACGCTGCCCACCTGGGTTGAGAGGGGACAGGAGAGAGGGGACGAGGGTGGAGACGAGGTTGAGAATGTGACTTGCTCTCGCAGGCATCTCCAGGGCGTGCAACGCACACACAGGTTCTTCCTAACCCTCTCGTCCCCCTCTTCATCCGCCCCTCTCCCCCTAAATCCCCTCTCTCCCCTTTCCCCCTAAACCCCCTCTCCCCTTTCTCCCTCCTTCCCGTTCTCCCACTCTCCCCGCTCTCTCCCTCTCCCCTTCTCCCTCCCTCTCTCTCCTTCCCTCGCCCCCTTCCTCTCTGCAGCGCACCTGGCAGCCCACGGGCATCTCCAGCGCGTACTGCTGGGTGAGGGCAGTGCAGGGGGCGTCGGTGCAAGCGCCAGAGCCCAGGCTGCTGGAGTTGCCCGCCCAGTACACCAGCTGCTCGCCCGCCAGCTCCTGCACCTTGCTCCACATCCCTCCTGCCGCTCCTGCCGTGGCTGCTCCCGGCGTCGCTGCTGCTGCCTCTAACGGTGGTGATGGTGATGGTGCTGATCCCAGCGTCGTCGCTGCTGCGTGTGCTTCGAATGGTGGTTGTGTGGATGATGATGATGGCTTTTGAGGCGCCTCAAAGGATGATGATGACTCCAGTGTGGCTGCTGAGCGCATGGATTCCGTTGCACCTCCATCTCCCACAGCAGCAAGGCTGTGCCGCTGCTGCTGCTGCCCTGCCTGCGACTCAGGGGGCACGGGCCAGTCACCACTGCCGCCCTCTGCGGCACCCCGCATGAGCGACCCTCGAGGCACTGCCAGCTGCCCAGTTTCTTCATCCCACCGCTCCTCCTCCCTGCCTACACCCCCTGCCCCAACTGCCACAGCATATGCTTCCTCATTCCCCGCATTCCCAGCCTCTGCTGCAGGAATCACCCTCCTTGCTTTTCCCTCTCCTTGTGCTTGTGCCTGACCCTGTGACTGTAACGAGGGTGGGCGTTGTGAGCCATCTACCTCCAGTGCCATCTGCGCCCCAGCAACCAGCCCTTGCCCGGGACCTGCCTCTGAATCCGCGCCTGAGCTTGCACCTGCATCTGTGGCCGCTACTGCATGTGCATGTGCATCAACATGGGCGGCAGCAGCACGTGCATCTGTGGCCATGTTTCTGGCGTGGTTGAGAGATGCGGATGAGGGAGGGTCCACCGTGGGGGGCGAGGCGGGCGAGGAGGGCGTGGAGGGGGAGGGGCCTGATGGTAGCGCTGCCGAAGGGGCGCTGGGAGATTGCTGTCCGCCTGCAGGTTGCTGCTGAGGGGGTTGCGTGACATGGAGAAGGAGATTTGCGAAATGTAAGGGTGCGAGCGAGGGTTTCTTTCCGTGCAGTAGGGGAGTTTTAAGAGCGTGAAACACAAGTCATGCCACAGCCTTGCTGTCATCAACACAGCAACGCAACACAGGCTACCACAAAAACTCTCAAACATATAACCGACAGCAATTCGACTACCATGCCACGACGCAAAGGCCCACCTGGGTGTGGTTGGTTTCGGGGTGAGGTGGCGGGCAGGAGGGGCAGATACAGCGCGTCCAGAGCAGGTCGCTGCCCGTGTCCACCTGCAGATTCACGGGCTGCCTGTTCCACCCCAGCTGCACCTGCACGTAGTATAGGCTGCTCGCACAGGCGGGGAAGGAGAGGGGGGGAGAACGAGTTCAAAGGTACCTCAAAAGTAAAAAGCGTGGTTGCAGTCGCATGCAGGTCCACTCACCCACAGCCCTATCACCCCACACTCCTCTCTCACACCCCCTATAAGCCTCTCTCGCACCCCTCTCTCACCCCTCCCTCACCCCCACTATCATCCCTCCCTCTTCCTCTCTCTCACCGCTCGCTCACCCCCTCTCACCACCCCTCCTCGCGCACCCGGATTTGCTGAGGAAGTAGCCATCCAGGGGGTACTGCACGTCGCCCAGACCCAGCAGCCTGCGCCGCCCGCCAGCTGGTGCGGCCCACGGCAGGCCGTGCAAGAGCCGCGATTGGCCGTCCTCGTCAGCGCGTCGGTGGAGCGAGCTGGCGTGCCCCTCCTCGTTGTGAAGCGTGAGCCCATCGCCCTGGTCGTGCATGCAGCATGGCACGAGGAAAACGTGTGAATGTGTGCTGCGTGCAACTGTAACGAGGTGACTTCTGGGTCGACTCAAACGTCACCTCGTGAGCTCCTCGCCTTGATCGTTCTTGCTGCATGGAACCGAGGAGAGCGTGTGAGTGTGTGGCTTGTGAGCGTGTCGTGTCAGCTTCAGAGCGTGGAGGCGACTATTGAAACTGGCTTTAGAATCAAAAGAGCAGCAACGAGGTAGGACATGTGAGAACATGGAATGCAGGACCGCAGACCCAGAGATAAATGGGAAAGACGAACGACGCCTGAGTAACATCTGACCGGCGAGTCGATATACCACCCTGTGAAAGGAAGGAAGACGATGACCTATTTCCTTGACGCCCCACCTACCTTCCCCAGTCCCTTAAATGGGCCTCATACTGATGACTCCACCTTACCTCTTCCACATCGGAGGCCCCGCCTCGGGAATGCCTCAAGCTATCTCTCAGGGCATATCCATTATTAGCGTCCTCGGTTTCCTCTGGAATGGCTTGCTTGACCGGCAGGTACACGCCCTCAGGCGAGTGGCCCTGCGCCATGAGCTGGCGGAAGAATCGAGGCTGCGGCGAGTCACACGATGCTGAAGGCGACAGTTGGGATTGCAGGGAAGACGTTCCTCTTGCTGTTGCTGCTGCTGCTGCTGCTGCTGCTGCAGTTCTGGTTGCTGCTGCTGCTGTTGCGGTTGTTACTGCTGAAGTTGGTGCTTCTGCTGCCGCTGCCACTGGTGCTATACTCCTTGCTGCTGTTTCTGCTGTTGTCGGCTCTGCTGCGGCGAAAGTGAGTCGCACATGGCCCCACGCGCGCATCTGCTCCAACAGCCGCCGGTCATGCACCTGAAAGCGGGCGAGAGGCGGTGGGCTCAAGGAATCAATGTCTCGACCATGACAGCGTTTAACTAGACCACAAAGGATTGGAATGGATTGAAGTGGAGGGGAGAGAGCACACACAGCAGGAGTGCAGCAGTTCTGCGTGCTTAGAAAACAGTCCAAACGGCTTTGCTCCCATGCGTTCGAAGCGGACAGCAACGCCTACTGACAGACAACTGTGACGGAGCGCACAACAAAAAGCTAGTACTAAGAGAGGAAACCTTTAAATTGAACGCGGAAATGTCCCACTACGAGAGCGGCTTTAACCAACAGGCCAACGGCGAACGCAAGAACAGCGGGACCACTTTCTGTAACCGTCCTAGGTAACAGCAGTTCCATAGGCATGGGATAACGGGTACGATGGCCGCCTTGCTGCTGTCTTCTTATCCCAATCGCGTACTATTTAGGCTTGCTTCTCTTGCATTACAGTCGACGAACATTGTTTGCGCTATCATGCTCTTCCGCGAACCCACAGCTACCAATTGTCACCCCGTGAGACGCAATGGTGTAGGCCTGCTGTGAAAAAAGTGTGTGAAAAAAGGTGTGTCTGAGAGAGGTATGTGTGTGAGAGAGAGGCTACCTGCTGCGGATGCTTCCGCGATGCCGCTGAGCTATAGCTGTCGCATCGCGAGAGGGGAACGGGCCACGCGGAGAGCAGCAACAGCGGCAGCACGAGCGGAAGTAGACCCCGTGGAGTCGCCGTGCGACGACGCGGCGGCGACAGCTTCGCTGAGCGACAAAACCACGAGGCAGCATTCGTCGTCGTGCGATAGGACCACGCCGTGGGCGACGTCCCTGTTCGACGACTCGTCGCACTGCTATGATTGAGCATGGTGGCCTCTGGACTCAAGACCGAACATCGTAGGTGAATTGTCTGGAAGAATCAATAAGACTAAGCGGGGACTATGCACCGTGAGTAGACATGCTGTGCGTGGCCTAGGAGCGGGAACGCTGGTAACAGAGTCTGCTAGAGAATATCGGCGAATTCGGGCTGATCACATCCGCGACATTCGGCAAAGGATGAACATGAGAACAGGAGCTGGGCTTGGACTTACAAAATCCTGCGCCGAAACCCTAATTTACCGACTATAGCTGCTCCCACTGTCGAGCTGTTGTGTGTAACCGTAGGAGTCTACTTTAGTGGTCTAATGAAGACAATATTAGACCTGTCGCTTGCAAGAAACCTAAATTGGGTTTCAGAAAGAGTAGCCTAGCTGGATCAGCCATCGAGCTCGTCACCGCGGGATCAAGACTCGAGCTACGGACAAGGCCGAGTCTGCGCGATGGCGAAGGTTAGAGGAGTGGATCGCACACATCTCAAGCAAGTCAAGCGTCTCATCACGGCGACGTCGCAACTCATCCCTAGCGACCCCTGGCGACCATTCCTAATCGTGCCTCGCAACGAACCGAGACAAAATACACCACGTCTGCGGCTCAGCTCCGCATTCAGCACTACCAAGGAAAGGAATGGCTCCTGGAATTTGGATCCAGCTCGTCCTGCAAGTCATCCCCGTCTGCGCCAGTCAGTGACAGACAGTGACACACTGGACGCGCAGCAGAACTCTTGGGTCGCTCCCCCCCCCCCCCCAGGGGTGCCATGCGAAACCCAGGGACGGAAACGTTGACGGATTTCGGTCACCGTAACGGAGTTTGGCTTTGTTTGATAGTTCACGGCAAGATACGTGATGTCGTCCAGGAATGAACTGCGGTGCTCTCGATTGCTGGTGCCGAGCGAATCGACGAGCTCGCGGCCCCACCCGAAAGATCAAGCATTTCTTGAGCAACCCTTTGCGCCAATCGCACCCGTCGCTCCGTCAACCATTTCCCATCAACTCCAGTACAGTAGTCAGGCGATGTTGTAGCACAACGGGCAGGAGGCAAGATTCCCAAACTTGAGATTCCCTTTGCTCCCGGAAGTGTCCGTTGGCTTCGTGTCACTGAGCAAATAGTTCCTTGCTACACTCTGCACCCTCTTTCCATAACCTGCTAGACTTGTGGTGTAGCTCTTGTGGTGTATACACTTTAATCACCCCAAACTCCAAACATACCCCGTTTTGGCGACTCTTTGCCTCCGGCTCGTGTTTGTTTTCCCTGTTACAATCCCAAGTGGGACTTAGCGAAGGATCGCTGAGGGTTGATCGCAGAGTAGTGTTGCAGCGGAAGTTTGAATCTCAGGTCAGAGTGAATGTAAATGACTGAGTTGATAAAAGCATGCATACATCCGGTTTATATAAGGATACAGGGGAATATGAAAAGACCTAGACTAGCCATGTACTCTAAGGGGTACATTCCCTTATTACAGCAAATTCAAACCGTGCGGCGCGGGAACCCGTTTTGAACCTGTTCCTGCTCTTTTCACTTCAAATGTTTCTGCCTGCATCGGTCTTGGTCAGACGGTTGCTGCGTCGCTTCGACTCTTCTGACTCCTTGACTTCGTACTCGGTAGAGTCGGCTCCTGCAGCATACAGGAATGCCTTCTCATAAAACTTCATATCGTAACACTCCACTTCATTCCTGGGCGCAGGAGGAGCTGACTCGCTTGACTACTCCGGTGAGGTTAGAGCAGTGCTTGTACTGCTGACGTGGCAGACGCTTGGTGAGGGAGTCTGCTGCCATCTCAGTTGTCGGGCAGTAGGCGAGGTCAACTTTTCCCTGGTCAATTTCGTCCTTGACGAAAAAGTACCGAAGCGCGATGTGCTTTGTGCGGTTCACGAAACCTGGCTTGTTCGCGATCCTGATGGCACTCTGGTTGTCGCAGTGAAGGCGAAAGGTGGGCGAGGTTGGAATTTTCGCCTCCTGTAGCAGCTCCTGCAGGTACAGCCCTTCGCGAACTGCTGCTGTCGCGGCGATTTATTCTGCTTTAGCCGATGACAGGGCAACCAACTCCTGCTTCTGCGAGTTCCAGGAGATTGGCCCAGTGGGTTCCAGGCGAAAAACGAAGCCGGTTCGGGACCGTCGATTTGCAGGGTCAGCTGCATGATCTGCGTCCACGTAGCCGTTGAGGTTGAAGGAGGTCGTCGTCAGCGTGGAGTAGGAGAGCCCAATGTCAGGTGTGGAGATGAAGTACTGCAGGGCGCGCTCCAGATCCAGCTGGTTCTCAGCTACTGGCTTGCGAGAATACTGCGCCAGTTGGCTAGCGATGTACGAAAGGTCGGGTCGGCAGGTGACAGAGGTGAACAGCAGGCAACCCAGTTGCTGCTGGTACAGTTGGAGTCCTGCGGGTGATAGTGGTTTGTTGTCCGGTTTGTAGTTGGTGCTGGGGTTGCGGTAGGGAGTTGAGAGTGGTGCAGGAGAGATGTTGAAACGTTCTCCCAGCTGCTCTGCGTACTTGGAGGCTGACAGGTGAATTGCTTCTGGCGCGTAGGTGATGTTCAGCCCCAAAAACTGCTTCACGTTGTGATTGATGGTGATGTCAACGCTCTGCGCCAGGTTCTCCTCAAACTGGTTAAGGAGTTTGTTGCAGGTGCCCGTGTACAGCAGGTCGTCGACGTAGACTGTCAGGAGAATGTAATCGCCGCTGAAGTGAAGGCGGTACATCCCCGGGTCGTGTGGAAGTTGCTTGAAACCGATCTCGAGGAGGATTTTGTGCAGATGCTGCTGCCAGAGACGAGGCGCCTGCTTGATCCCGTAGAGGGACTTCTTCAGTTGACAGACCCTAGGATCCCCTTCTCCGTAGGTGTGAGGCTGCTCCACGAAGATGGTAGCGTCCACCAACGCGTATAAGAACGCGTTCTTCACGTCGACCTGTCGCAGTGGCAGGTGCTTAGCGGCGGCAATGGCGGATAGAATCCGGACGGAGGTGTGACGACTGACGGGAGCGAATGTTTGGTCGAAGTCGATGCCGTGGCGCTGATCGTACCCACGTACGACCCAGCGTGCCTTGAATCGCTCGATGGTGCCGTCAGCATTAGTCTTGAGCCGAAAAACCCATTTTCCGCCGAGTACCCTCCTCCCCTTCACTGCTGCACGATCGACTAGGACCCATGTGTCTCGAGACTCCAGCGCCTTTAGTTCTGCATTTATCGCAGCGCGCCACTCCTTGGCGTGAGGGCCGGTTAGGGTCTGGCTAGGGTTCTTGGGCTCCACAGCCCGTGCGAGGGTAGTGACGGACGCGTGCAGATCGAGAAGTTGAAGACCTGACACTGTGTTGGTGGTGTCTGTGTTGGTGGTGACTTCCACCACGTCGTCGTCTCCGCTTTCGTAGCCGGGCGCTGCGGTGCTTGGCTCTGCTTGGCGCCGTGATGGTGCTGGCGCGGGGTCATCGTCAGTGTCATCGTCGCCGTCGTCGTCGCGCGGGCGAGTCGAGATGTTGGGATGTTCGTCGGTGTCGTCGCGGTCCAGTGCTGCTGCTGCTGCTGCTTCGTCTTCTGGGGTTGCAAAGCTGCGGCCGCTGTTGACGTAGCCGCGTGCCTGGTTGCGTCGCTCGTTCTCAATCCACTGCTTCAAGGTAAGCCGTTCGTAGAAGAAAACGTCTCGCGCGGGAATAATCTCCTTACTGTCAATATCAAGGATGAGCCACCCTTTGTGCTCATTACTGAGACCCAAATGAACTCCCCAGCGCGCGAGATGAACGAACTTGCCGATGGTGGCCGAGGTCGGCCGATACTGCACCATGCACCCCCAAACCCTCAGCATGGAAGGGTCTCCCCTTGAGCCGGTCCACTTCATGTGAGGGACAGGTTGTCCCTGTTGGCGGTGGTGGAGAGGAGGTTGTGCAGGCGCACCTCGTGGTTCATGGCATAGGGCCAAAACTTCTTTGGCAGGCCGGACTGGTTCATGAGGGCGCGAACCTTTGTCATGAGGGTGCGATTGACCCTCTCTGCGACGCCTTGCTGCTGGTGAGCGTAGGGGAGAGAAATCTCATGCTTGATCCCCTTCTCGGTGAGAACACTCTCCAGCTCGTTGCTGCGAAATTCCTTGGCCCCCCGTCACTCCTCCAG